TAAGGAGTGAAACTATTAGAATTCTAGAGGAAGAAGTTGGGAATACTCTTCTAGACATTGGCCTAGGCAAAGAATTTATGAAGAAGACTTTATAATTTTAAAATGACATTAAATATACATGATTATCTAGAGTTTAAGGAATGAAAAAAAAAAAACCTGGTTTCTTTTTCTATGTATACCTAGGTTTTCTCTTAGTGATTGGTATGCGAACAAATGACCCATTCCATCTTTACCAGATATTCAGCTCTCTTAGAATCCACATATGGAAACAGTAAAAGAACAAAATCTAGAGGTCTAGTAAGTAGGGTGCAGCACCCTGTTATAGGACACTGAGAAGTGCTTATGTTTTGCAGGCCACATGTCAAGATACACTATACTTTTCACATTCTCATATAATATTGGGTTGGTTGCAGTGAGGAAAAAAAAATGGCATGGAAATTAGAGTTCATCTTACCAAAACAGATCAAAGAGAAAATAAATAGGCAGATTAGGGATCAAGCTTAGGAAAATGAGCCATGCGAAAGAAGGCTAGGTCCATCCTCGATCCTTAGGCAAGTCAAGAGTCTAGACAATTTGTATGTCAGTACAAGTGATATTGAGCAGGATTTAACTGTGTTCCTAGGGCAGAAGTTAATTGCTCTGTTACTATTTCTGTCATGATTTGTGATATCAAGCTTTGTCTGCTTCTCTGAGAACATTTGTACAAAATTTGCAGGTGAATCTAGTTTTGAATAGCTAGAGATGGAGGTGCTAGATCTGCCTTAAAGGTAATAAATTAAGAGCATCAGTAACAACATATAAACTTCTTTTTTGAGTTCTAGTTACACTGTTCTCTCTGCAAAACTGTTCTTTCCCCAATTAGAGCCTATAATCCATAGTTCCTATCTTCTTTCTAGTGTCAAAATCTTCATGTCTATATTCTTGCTTATATTCAGCTTATATTCCATTGTCCATTATTCTAATCATTCTTTTCCATGTACACTTAAATCTATTTGGCCCAAGTCCCATAGTGACTGAGTGGAAAAACACTCTAATTGTATTAATTCAACTTTTAGTCTATGATGGGTCTGCACATGGGCAGCTGATTGTGCTGGAGAAAAACACAAAACCTTGCTGAGAGGCTTCACTTTCTATCTATAACCACTAACCCCAGTGGGTTCTTTAAGATATTTGACATTCCTATGGCATTCCCCCACTCATTCACTTTCTCACACTCTAAGATGAATATCACACACCTTCTATTCTCTCCTCAAGCCCCCAATCCTTCCTTCTTCATCTTTGCTGTAAGCTTGAGAACACACAGAGTGGCCTAGTAGACACTTCCACTAGAATATCTACCAGGCATCTCAACTTAACATGCCCAAAACAGAACTCCTCGTTTCCCCATGACCTGCCTTTGCCCCGGTCTTTCTTGTTTTAAGAAATGGCAATTTGATCATTTCAGTTGATCAGGCCAGAAACCTAAAGTCATCCTTTATCATCTGTTCACTTTCCTGTCCTGCATCCATCTATCAGTAGATCTTATTAACATTACTTTCAAAAATGTATCTAAAATCTGACTATTTCTCACCATTCTTCCACTACTCTTCTCCAGCCATATTGTTTCTTAAGGGTTTTGTGAATATGTCAAGCAAGTTTCTGCCTCACAGTGTTTGTGTTAGCTGTTCTATCTGCCTGGAATACACTTTTCCTGGATTTTCATATGATTTTCTTCCAGAATCACTTTATCTCTTTGCTCAAATGTCTTCCTATCAAAGAGGCCTTTTTGGACCTCTCTACATAAAACGGAATCCCAAGACCTTGCACTGTATCTGTCTTATCCTATTTTACCTTTAGCTTTAGTATTTATCCTCTGTGAAATGCTATATCAATACGTAGCATTATTTGGTTGTTATTGTCAATGCCACTTCACTAGAATGTAAAGTCCACGAGAGAAGGAACCTTGTCTCTTTTATGCACTGCTGTATCCCCAAGGCCTAGAATAGTACCTGGCTCACAGAAGGCACTCAATAATATTGTGAAATGAAAAGACTGAATGAGCTACCCATTTCTCATCAGGTCTTTCAGATGACACTATTTGGACTAAGCGAATATATTCTGGATTCCCCAAACACTTTTTATGTTCAATAGCTATTGTTGCTTTTACAGGTGATCGATTTCAGAAAGTGGAATTAGCACTGACAGGCTCGGGAATTCCTGTCTTACTACAGTTTAATCCAGGAAAAGTCCTTAATTTTACACCTTGTGTCATGGGTGAATGTTCAGAGATTCAGTTTATTGTACAAAATCAATCCAAATCACTTCCTGTGATGTACCACTTTAAAAAAACTGGAAATTTTAAAATTGATCCTGAAAGGGGCATGATTAATGAAGGATATAGTCAGGTAAGATCATTTTTCTTTGCTTTCACATTGCAGTGAACATTTTAAGGTCTGCTAAAATGATTTGCAGAAGATTATAAACAATATCTTTTCTACCAGTGTTTATAAATTGTGATTCTTCTGTGGCCTAGTTGTGAATACTTTTGTATAGGTACTCATACAGAATCCGTAATTATTTGTTAAATGTCTGTCATGTGCTAGGGAAGACATTTAACACTGTAGGGAATTTATAGAAGTGCAAAACATAGTTACTGCCTCTGAGATATTTTTAATGTAGTACAGAAGTACAAGACATATACACAAACAGGTATGGCTTAAGAAGAATGTAAGATATGTTAAAAGAGAGCTGTAATAAGGTGATATAGAAACTCAGAGAACAGAGAGTTTACTTCCAGCCATGTAGAAAGGTCTCCATAGGAGACTAACATATGAACCAGACCTTGAAGGTTGAGTAGAATTTTGAAATTTGAAGCTAGTGATATTTACCTGACCTAGAAATTACACTGTTGGTGCAAAGCAGAAAAAAGAGAACACCAAGGTATAGCTTCGAGGACTAGGCCAGTTTGTGGATGACGGGGGCTGTTTGTTTGTTTTCGATTGCTACACAGATAACTCTTTCCCAGATCCTCTAAACCAGGGATTGGAAGACTAGTTTACAGGCCAAATCCGGCCTGATGCCTGTTTTGGTAAGTAGTGTTATTGGAACATAGCCACTCTTATTTGTTCTTCTATTGTCTAAGGTTATTTTCATGCTACAAAGGCGGAGATGAGTAGTTGTGAGAAGACTGTATGCCCTATGAAGCCTAAAATATTTACTGTCTGGCAATTTACAGAAATAGTTTCTCAAACCCTGCTTTAAACACAGCCAACATGAGTGCTTTCAGTTTCTTATGTTACATCTTTTCTCTACCGCAGTGATGTGGTTCATAAAGTTACCTATGAGAACTTTCTCCCAGTAGCAATCAAGAGCTCTTATACACATGCAGCTCCTATCTACATCTCTTACTGCATCATTAGTATAACCCCCTCTCCAAATTTGGATAGAATTAATAAGAAAAACAGCAAATGTTAACCACATTATACTAAACATTTTCTTTTTAACTGCTTCCTATATTTCCTTTTATCCAAGTCTCTTATACCTACTAACTCAATTATGTTTTTTTCCATACACATCTTTAAACATACACATCTTTAAAACATATCTGGGTATGGCACGCGATGTTTGGGGGTTGGGCACGCTTGTAGCTCCGACTTGGGCAGTGCAAAGGCAATATATGTAACCAAAATGTTTGTACCCCCGTAACATTCTGAAATTAAAAAAGAAATAGAAAAAAAAACACACACACACATCTGATATCTAAGTCCCCAACATTATTTGTCATTCTCTACGTTTCTGGATTTCTTTAACATTAATAATTTTCAAATTAGTAAAAACGTGAAAATAAGAAGTGTGGTGGACACTAGAGAACTGTGACCTGCACAGACTGGTCAAATAGCCTTTGACTATTTAGAAATGTGTTAAGATTATTCTTTTTAATGTAACAGCTTTATTGATATGTAGTTCACATACCATAAAATTCACACATTTAAAGTATACTATTCAGTGGTATTAGTATGTTCACAGGGCGTAACCATCAGCCCTATCTAATTCCACAACATTCTCATCACCCTAAAAAGAAACCCAATGCCAGTTAGCAGTCACTCCCCTTCCCATTCATCAGCCTCTGGCAACTGTTAATCTATTCTCTGTATCTATGGGTTTCTCGGTTCTGGACATTTTATATGAATGTTATATTTATATGTTGTCTTTTATGGCTGGATTATTTCATTTAGCATATTATTTTCAAGGTTCATCCACATTGTAGTGTGTATCAATACTTCATTCCTTTTTATAGCCAAATTAAATTCCATTGTATGGATACACTACCATTTATTTATCCAATTTATCAGTTAAGGAACATTTGGATTGTTTCTACCTTTTGACTATTATGAATAATGCTGCTATAAACATTCATGTAGAAGTTTTTGTGTGGACAGATTTTAATACTCTTTAAATGCTGTATACCTAGTTGTGGAGTTGTTGTTGAGGTCATATGAAAACTCTGTGTTTAAGTTTTTGAGAACCTGTCATACTGTTTTCCAAAGGGACTATACCATTTCACATTCTCACCAGCGGTAAGTGAACATTCTAATTTCTCCATACCCTCAACCATGCTTGTTACTGTCCTTCTTTATTATAGTGATCTCAGTGGGTGCAAAATGGCATATCATTGTAGCTTTCATTTACATCTCCCCAGTGACTAATGATGATTGAATTTCTTTTCATGTGCTTATTGTCCATTTGTATATTTTTTTTGGAGAAATGTTCATTCATATCCATGATAGGGAGAATAATGACTGCCTAAAAATATCCCTATCCTAATATCTCGAATTTATAAATATGTGTTGTTCCATGGCAAAGGAGAATTCAAGTTTCAGTTGGAATTAAGGTTGATAATCAACTGACCTTAAAGCAGGGAAATTAGCCTGGATTATCTGGGTGAACCAAAATATCATCACGAGGGTCCTTAAAACTAGAAATTGGGTACGGAAGAAATGTCAGTGTCAAAGTGATGTGATGTGAGTAAAACTTTACTGTCCACTGATTGCTGGCTTTGAAGATGCAAGGTGGGACACAAGACAAAGAATGGGATGCCTTTAGAAGCTGGAAAAGGCAAGAAAGTGGATTCTCTGCTAGCATTTCCAGAAATAAACACAGTCCTGCCAACATTTTTATTTTTGTCCACTGAGACCTGTGTCAGACTTCTGACCTACACGGATGTAAGATAAGAAATTTGGGCCTACACAATTTTTTTGTGATTTGTTATCACAAAAATTGGAAACTAACAGAACATCCTTTATCCATTTTTAATTGGGTTGTCTTTTGTTATTGAATTGCCAAAGTTCTTTATATATTCTGGATACAAATCCGTTACCAGACACATAAATCGTGAATATTTGTCCCATTCTGTGGGAGTCTTCTTACTTTCTTGATCGTGTTCTTTGAATTATAAAAGTATTTAATTTTGATTAAGTCCATTCTATCTAGTTTTTTTTGTTTGTTTCTTATGCTTTTAATATCATATCCAAATAGTCATAAACTATTTAAGGTTGTTAAGTTTTGTTCCTGTTTTTATGTAAGAATTTTAGCTCAAACTTGTAAATCTATTATCCATTTTGAGTTAATTTTTGTATATGGTATGATTTAGAGGTCCAAATTCATTGTTTTACATATAGATGCCAAGTTATCTTATGATATTATCATGCTTATCAAAAATCAATTGACCATGAATATAAGGATTTCTGAGCTAACAATTATATGTTGTTTATCTACGTTTATTCTATCATAGTACCAAATATATTGATTACTGCAACTTTGTAGTAAATTTTTAAATCGGGAAATGTAAGCCCTCTAAATTTGTTCTTTTTAAAGAATGTTTTTGGCTAATTTGAGATGCTTGAAAATCCATATGAATTATAGCATTAGCTTGCTAATTTCTGCAAAAAAATGGCAGCTTGGATTTTGAAAGGAATTGTGTTGAATTTGTAAATCTATTTAGGCAATATTGCCATCTTACCAATATTAAATCTTGTGATTCATAAAGATGGGATGTCTTTCCACTTATTTATGTTTTCTGTAATGCCTTTCAATGATGTTTGTAATTTTCAGTGTACAAGTTTTATAATTCTTTTTAAAATTTATTTCTATATATTTTATTCTTTTTGATGTTATATACATAAAATTGAGTTCTTAATTTTATTTTTGGATTATTCATTGCTAGTGTATATAAATACAGTTGTCTTTTGCATTCTGACCTTGAATCCTGCAAACTTGCTGAACTTATTTATTAGTTCTGGTAGTTTTTTGGTGGATTCTTTGGGGTACAAGACCATGTCATCTGTGGATAGTGGTCATTTTACATCTTTCTTTCCAAAGTGGATCCATTTTACTTATTTATTTTCTTATCTAACTGCCCTAAATTTTCTTATCTAATTGCCCTAACTACAACTTCCAGTACAATGTCAAATAGAAGTGGCAAAAGAGGATATCATGTCTTGTTCCTAATCTAAGGGGAAAGCATTTAATCTTTCATTAGTAAGTATGATGTTAGCTGTAGGTTTTTCATAGATTGCCTTTATAAACTTCAGTAAGTTCCCTTTTATTCCTAGTTTGTCACGTTTTTATTATGAAAATGTGTTGTATTTTGTCAACTACTTTTTCTGTGTCTATTAAAATAATAATGTGGTTTTGTCTTTTATTCTATTAAGATAGTATATTACACTAATTGATATTCAGATGTTAAACCTGGGATAAATCATACTTGAACATAGTGTATAATCCTTTCTATATGTTGCTGGATTCAGTTTGATAGGATTTTGTTCAGGATTTCTGCATATATATTCATAAGGGACATAGGACTGAAGTTTTATTGTCTTGAAATGTTTTTGATTTTGAGATCAGAGTAAAACTGATGCCATAGAGTGAATTGAGAAGTGCTCTCTCTCCTCTTTAATTTTTGGCATTGCTTGTGAAGGATTGGTGCACTAATTCTTCCTTAAGTGGTTGGTAGAACTCCCCACCAAAGCCATTTGGTTCTAGGCTTTTCATTATCATAAATTTTTTGATTACTGATTAAATCCCTTGTTGAAGGGTTATTTAGATTTTTTGTTTCTTCTTAGGTCAGTTTCAGTAGTTTATGTCACTCAAAAAATTTGCCCATATCATTTAGGTCATCCAGTTTCTTTGCATACAATTGTTGATCATATTCCCTTATACTCCTTTGTACTAATGTAAAGTTGATAGTGGAGTATTTTTGGTCTACTCGCTTTATAATGTTTTTCCAAGTCTCTATTTCCTTGTTAATCATGTACCTAGTTTTCCTAATCATTATTTATAGTGGAATATCAGAGTCTCCAACTATTATAGTTGAATTGTCTATTTTTCCCTCCACTTCTGTCAATATTTTCATGTATTTTGGGGCTTTGTCATTAGGTACTTACGTGTTTATAATTATGTGTTCCTGATGTCTTGATTATTGTATCTTTATAAAATGCACTTCTTTTATTATAACAGTTTTTGTATTAATGTCCATTTGTCTTATATTAGTGTAGGCCACCCAGCTTTCTTTTGAGTATTGTTCACATGACGTATCTTTTTGTCATCCTTTTCCTTTCTACCTATTTGTATCTTTGTCTATGATGTGTGCCTCTTGTGAACAATATATAGGTTGTGTTGTTTGCTCACTCTGGCAACCAACTTCATTTTCTTTAAATAAGGAAAATGTGATATATATATATATATATATATATATAAATTAATAAACACACATACACACACACTATTCAGCCTTAAAAGAAGGAGGAAATCCTGTTGTTTGCAACAACATGGATGAACTTGGAGGGTGTTATGCTATGTGAAATAAGTCATGTACAGAAGGAGAAAAACTGTGTGATATCACTTCTATGTAGAATCTAACAAAGTTGAACTCATAGAAGCAGAGAGTAGAATTGTGGTTGCACGGGTATGGGGTGGTGAATGGGAGATGTTAGACAAAGAGTACAATGTTTCATTTAGGATGAATAAGTTCTGGAGATCTAGTAGTATACAGCATGGTGACTATAGTTAATAATAATGTATAATTGAAAATTGCTAAGAAGGCAGATCTTAAATGATCTAACCACACAAAAACAAGATATGTTAATTACCTTGATTTAATAATTTCAAAATTATGCATATATCAAAATATCATGTACACTATAAATATGTACAATTTTTATTTGTTAATTATACTGTAATAAAGCTGGGGGAAAGAAATATAAAAAAACTTCACTTATATTTAATGTAACTACCAGTGATGTAAGAATTACATCTGCTATTTTTCTATTTTTTCTGTAACTCCTATATCCTCCTTGTTCTCTATTATTCCATTACTGCTTTATTTTGTGTT